AATAATGATCTTTAAAAAAGCATCATATGACCCCTTTAAGAAACAATATAACAACAACGAAAAACAATTACCATTCCATCTATTTCCTCTAGGATTTTCATGAACTGCTCAGAGGCAACTTTCACCCTGTGGTCCAGTTTGTTAAGAGCCTCGGCTTGCAATTCTTTTGCAAGAAAACCCTGTAAATAATCCATTAAATAATGAAATTACCATATTGCCAAATACATAAGTACAGTGTTCAAGAAGAGGAATAAACAGATTTTTATCCATGTTACATACATTCTTCAGTCCTGTGAGTTCACCATCCACCTTCTCAAGCTTCTTGGCGGTTTGTTCCACTGACTTTTCAATGTCTTTGAGCTTTTTAAGTTCAGCTTCCTCCTCCGGGCTGTTCTGTAAAAATAAAGCAGCTTGTCAGACTCAGAAATAATTACAGTTCTATCTATATGAATTAATGAATGGCACATTTTACCCTCTTTCCAATCATCATCAGTTTACAACCCTGCTTTATTCCAAAGCTGGACAGAGGCTCCTCCATCTCCTTCAGTGATTTCCCTACAACCAGAACAACATAATGTTACGATTCTAGCGATCCAGATATTCTTGCAATCAACAATACAATGTTACTGTTGCACTGGCACAGACTAACGATGCTTTTATTTCAAACACTGCATCATTCTGTTGAGTTCAACTAATGATAATTTCTGTAGTTTATACCGAAAACACAGGTGGCCATTTACAGTTGAGTAAATATAACGCATGAAGCACATGAAGAGTGTATACTGTGTTACCTTTAAATATGACTTTCTGGGATGGTACTGGCACTCCTGTGGCTTCTGTCAGCGCTTCACACAAATCCTTTAACAGTGGTTCATGTCCATCCTGTGCTGTTAAAGTGATGTTGTGTTTGGTTGAGCCTGAGACAAGAAGACATGTTCAATACTCAAAATGATTCAGAGAGCTAACTGGCACCGTTATCTGCAAATCCAGCATTGACATTTACACATTAACTAACCGTAATTAGATTACAATTAACCTGGAAACTCAAAATATACATTCTTAGCCTCAGAATGTAACTAATATTGGAATAAACGTCTGTGGTTTAGAGGGATGCTCAAATACTGGTAGCTAGCTTCAACACTGTCGTGCCGTATAAAGCCTCAATAAAAATATCGACTGCATTTATTTTCGATTCATCTTAATGTTTTCAAATATAAAAAGGTAGTCAGTTATCTTTACCATAAGCAACTGTCACTGCCATTGTGATATCCGCCATATCAGATTCAGCACACTATTAGCTAACGCTTCACAACTTCAGTGTATGCACATGGAACCGGAAGTGACGTATGTGTGTGTGTGTGTGTGTGTGTGTGTGTGTGT